CTCAAAAGGAAACCATATTTTAAAATAATTTTTGAAGAGTTCTGTAAAAGAACTCATTTTTTCCCCCAGCTAGAAACAGAGAGGTTTTAGGGAAAAGGTGGAGGTGGACAGATGGATAACAGTTTCTCCATGAAAATGCCGCTTCTCGGAAGATATGAATGTTCTTACAAAAGCACGGAGGAGACGCTACAGATAAACATCAGCTGAAAAGTAGTCTGAACTTCCACAATCCCATACCTTCCCCCACCAAAATGTGATTATTGGGGTAAATAAAAATGCTGTTTGGATGAAGAGCAGTGTTTCTGAGTCAGTGAGTCCTGGACCCAGCCGTGCGACCAGGGTGCTCATCCAGACCCTCCCCAGCTGCTGTCATCTGCTCAGGGTTAAGAACCCCAGGCTCCTCTGCCATTAAACAGAGAAACTGGGCCAGAAAGGTCTCGGCCCCTTTCTGTTCCAAGAGTCAGACGTTACGTGTGACAGTCCTATCATTACCCTAACACGATTATTACAGCTTCTGTGGTTGTAGTTCCATACGTATTGTCAGTAAAGTCATTATATGTTTAATGCATTAAGAATTAGTCAGCAGAGAGAGAAAAATGTCATTTTAGGTCGTTTTCTGACGTGAACGGCTTCCTCCGTCTATAAAGCGGGTTGTTGTGCCATCTGCTGGTCGTTCTGAGGTTGCCGCTCCTGCTGTAAAGGGTACCGGTCCCTTTTCCCTCTGTTGCCCCCAAAAGCCTTCAAGATGTTTTCTGCTCTCTGCAAGAAGTAGAGATAAGTGCCAAGACAGTTATGATGGTCCGCAAGGAAAGTTGTGAGCATTTATTTATACATTTTTGCATGTTTCTCCAAAGAGGCACTGACACATACATTTTAAAACAAGAGGTTTAGATCAGAGGTGTTGATATAAACAGTGGGGCACCTGAACTCTAACTGCAGAGTGTTTTAAATGAAACGTCTTCCTCATCTCTGGACTCCGTAAAGGCTAGGACATAATGTGGCCCCGTGGCTTCCACCCCCGAGCGCTGTTTCTCCCCGCAGCCCAGTAGGACGTCCCTCCAGGGCGACACTCCTGAGGCGTCTTACACCCAAGTGGCTTCACTGTGCCAAGGACAGGGACGCGAGCAGCTCCCCGAAAGGGGCAACTGGACGCCAAGGAACCATGAATAAGGATTTGTTAATAAACAAAGAACAAAGCAATTGTCTCCTAGCGGGGGAAATGTACTTTGGGTAGAATCATCAAAGGGACAAATAAAACATCTTCTATTTTTAACCACTTACAAGTTCCCGAAATTATGTCTCTTTCAACAGCCTAGAGGGCCTTTGAAGATGCTCTAATTAAGTTTCTAGAGAGGCCGGAATATTTGTCC